GGAGCGTGGCCCGGACGTGTGGTGTGTCTGCCACTGGAATCGGAATACCCCACTACACACACACAAAAAAAAAAAGGAAATACCCCACTACAAAAAAAAAAAAAAAAAAAAAAAAAAAAACACACAATACACTGAGCGGATGGGTACTCACAGTAGCACTATCGGAAATGTATCTAAACGCATCGACGGCCGGACCTGTGTGCATGTGGCCGCAATTCCGTCCAGAAACTAGTTTAAAAGTGCAAGTGGGAGTGTGCCCTGAAATTGGCCAATGCATCTTCTCTTTGTTTTCATTTTTTCCCTCCTCAAAGAATGTGCAAGGGTATTGAAATAATTTGTTAAGCTTTCCATAAAACAAAAAGAAAAAGAAACGGAAAAAAAAAAAAAAAGGTAAAGAGTGTGCGAGTTCCAGCGGCCTACCTGGCTCAAAATTTGGTGGGGAGTCTGCCGTAGCTGGTGGGGAGTCTGCCGTAGCTATGTTGGGAGTGGGTGCCGGGCTGCATGGTTTTTTTCTTCGCCGCCTGCAATACGCTATATGGAGCTATGACCAGGGCACCGACGGTGTATCTGGCGGGATATTCGAAGACTATAGATGGACCGTCCGTAGTGAGATTCGTCTGCTTCAACTCCTCCGGCATCTGGCCGGAGATTCGAAGACTATATATGGAGCGTGCGAGATTCGAAGACTATACATGGAGCGTGCGTAGTGAGATTCGTCTGCTTCAACTCCTCCGGCATCTTGGACTTTACTATGCCGCAAATTGCCAGTGCTTCAGGATAAGTGGTTTTGCATGATTGCCTGCTTTCTATTTGAAAGGGAGTGAGCAGTTGGGCGGGCTTGTTCCCTACTTTGAAAGAGAGTGGGCCTGGCCTGTGCGGGCTTGTTCCCTGTTTTGAAAGAGAGTGGGCCTGTGTGCTATTTTCCTGAGCGGTTATCTCTGCTCGTTCACATTGAGTTGTGAGTATTGGTAGTTTTGGCAAGAGAGTCGGAGTTATTCGGCGAAACAGGGCAAAAGGAGCTAATTACGTGTGAGATGCTGGCCCGATGTCTTGGTGGGTGGTACGGTAGGTTTGGGTTTCTTGATTGTTCACGTTTGGTCTCTGAGATTGCGGTGCTTTTTGAGTTTTAGGATTGGCTTGTTGGTGGTACGGTAGGTCTGGGTTTCTTGGGTGTCCATGTTTAGTTTTCGAGATTGAGTTGTTTTTTGGCTTTAGGATTGGTTTGGTGGTTTCTTTTCAGTCGGTAGGTCTTTGTTTTTCCATGCGTTTCAGGTGTTTTGCGGACGATGGTTTTGGGAATGGTTTCGATAGTTTTTGGTTTTGCTCGATAGACGCTTTGGTGATATGAGCTCTGGTGCTTCTGTTCTGTTTTTTGAGTTTTTATGGTATCCAAGTAGTATTAGGAATTCGATTGTTGAGTAGCGTTTTTGTTTTGTGGTTTTCTAAAGGTTTTCCTTCGTTTTAGGTTTTAGCTGTGGGGCTTGGTGGTTGTGTTCGCCATAGGTTTTTCGTGATATGATTTTCGGTGTTTTTGTGGCCGTTTCTTTGAGTTTTCACGGCATTTAGGTAGTATTAGGAATTAGTTTGTTGAGAAGTGTTTTTGTTTTCTGGTTTTCTACACAGGGATGACTCGGGATGGGGAGTGCACCCGAGGCCAGTTGCCCTCTGCTACTTTCACCTTAGAGGCTCGCCACACAGGCTGTCGAATGTCGAAAATTTTCGACAGGTGTCAGTAATTTATAGACAGCCCGGCGCTCGACAATTTTGCCCCCTATTGCCACACAGACTGTTGAGAGGCGAAATTGTTGAAAGTAGGCAGGTCGACACCGCCTTTCGACAGGTGCTGTGTGGCGAAGGCGGTGGACTGTTGGGAGTTGTTACAGCGAGCAGTTTGAAGGCCCGGAACGCTTCTCGAACCGGTTCCCCGCGGAGTATCAGCGGAGATTCAGCGGAGACGAAGGGGCAGGGGCGGCGGCCGGTTTATCTTGGCCAGAAACGTTCGGCCTTTTCCATGTATGTGGCTCGAGAAATGGGAACTGGGATCCTGGCTGGCGAGCCTCATGGACAGGGCCGGCGTTACCGCGGAGAGGGAGCGGGCCCACAAGGGGCAGGGGCGGCGGGCATCTTTTTCCATGTATCTGCCCCAAACATCGGAACTGGGGTCGTAGCTGGCGAGCCCCATGGACGGGCCCGGCCCATTCCACGAGGACTGCCAAGCACGGGCAACCAAAACGCAATGAAGGTGGCCAAAACCACTGCCCAAAATTGGCCTGCTAGCCAGACCCGGGCGTGCTGTCCGCTGCTCCGCCCATTGTGCGTGCAAGCGGGCCACCGCGATGGGACCAGCCGAAACAAGACGTCCACGCCGTTTTCGACAGCCACTTTCGATGACATACGGACAAACAGTCCATGGCTGTCAGGGAGCAGTCCCTGACAATGGAAAATAGGAGGCGCTTCTCGAAAGGTCGGCGGTGGACTGTCGAATTTCCTTGAGCTGCAGGCGGGAGGAAACGAGTGCGGGATGGTGGCTGTCGAAAGCACAAATCTGACACCTGGCGAAAATTTTCTGAACCGGAATTCGTCGAAAGCCTGTGTGGCTATGCAAAAATGTCAAAAAATCGGTTTTCGACAGCCT